AAATATTCAAGGACAGCTGTCTGTAAGCGGGGATCTTTTAACTATTTACACAACGGATTTTCATGTGGTTTTCATCTATATACAGAGTGATTCAAGAAGGTGGACTACGCTGGCAAAGCTGCTGGCGGAAAGCTAATAATTATCTATCTTATCTATAAAAAAATATCTCTTGAACTTGAATTAGTATTTTTTCGCAAAAATCACTACATCATTTATGTGTACTCGTTCATTTACAATATTTAGTTTCTCACAAACGTCAATAATAAATAAATACATATAATTTTTAATAAGAAATTGGATAGTGCAGTGTCTAGCGCACTCGGTCTGTGATACGGTTGTTAAGCAACTTTCGCAATGGTTGTTGGTGACCAAAATTTTACTATCTCGATCTCCTCTGGTGGGTCATGGCCCATTCTCCCTAGTCGATTCGATTCCATCCATAGGGAACGCCTGAGCCCCAGCAATGGAGAAATTTCTAGGCTGGTAATTTTAATAAGCATTCATCTTCATTTACAGTGACCATTCCGCTATTGAGTTTCGGCATGGTGCAAGGATGGCTGTCCCCCATGATATCCTCGCTGCAATCCGACGACGGCCCGTCTCCGGAGCCGTTCAGCGTCAGCGACATATCCTGGACAACATCCGTTACCTACATCACTGCCATCATATTTGGTGCACCCATGGGTTATCTCACCGATAGATTTGGAAGAAAAATTATGACCTTGGGCACGACACTGTCTTTAATCGTAAGTAAATTATTAATTTATCGTATATTAATTAATTTTTTGCTTTTTTCATCTTTATTTATATCGAAAGTTTCAAATACCTCTTTCGGCTGTTTGGGTGCCTTGCCTGAATATTAATGAAAACACGCTATGTAGTAGCAAAAATGTAACAAGTACTTGAAAAAATCGATTAGTTATTCTTGTTAGGTCCTGGCGACTGTTCCAACCACTGAGCGGCTCAGTGTTTGGAACAGGTGCCGCGAATTGTGAAAGATCATGAGTTCGTATCCCATCTCAGAGTACCAGGAACAAAGTGGATTTTTAGGCATTTTTCATTAAAGATATTATATTTAAAAAAACAAGTTAAACAGCCAAGAACAAGTTCTTTTCACCAACATAGGATTAGTTATCAAGTTTTACATACCATAAACATAATTTTAAAAAAGGATGATGACTTTTTATGTCTGTTAAAATGTCTGTTAAATGTTTATGTCTGTTAGATAGATTATTAAGGAAAATTAAACATGTACTTTTTTTTTTGCGTAATCATGGCGATAAATTGTGTTGAAATGTCCTCCCATGACGTCACAACTTGTGCGTTTTCTACAGAGTTGTGACGTAGCGAGTAACCACTCCTCAATTTCAATGCCCTATCGTTTAAAACATATTTTGTACAATTAAAGCAAAAAAAAAACCGTATTTAAAATTATTGTATTATCCGATAATCCTTCCCTGAATAAAAAAAAATGTATTTCACACCTAATTGTATCGTCTTCAAAGTAGTGTTATATAAAGAAAATGATAATTATATTAAGCCATTGAACAATTAGATACACAATTTTTTAAATCTACTTCGGTACTCTACGCAAATTCAGTCATGTGTCGACTAAAAACGTCTGCCTTGAAGTGATAATTTGCGTATAAATAAAGAGTAAGTCGGCCTGAGCCATATCAGGTGATTATTCCCATTTGTAATTCTAATTCTTTCACAATGATAACCTTCAGAGGTAATGCGTTATCGTTGTGCACAATCCACAAGTTTTCTTCCATATGTCTGCTCTTTTTCGTTGAAATTTTAGAGGCTATCGCATTTCATTCAATATTTCCTACTTCAGTGATATTAAGTTTGGTTGAAAGTAATGATGACTGACACAGAGCGAGACATTTCGACTACTTCCAAATGAGTGAAACACTAATTTATAAGTTTTTGATATAACTTGCAAATTTTTGATCGATATTTTTATCCAACACTCGCGATTGACTGAAAAAGCAACTAGAAAGTATCTTGCAACACCACGTACAAATCTTAATGTCTGCTACCCTAGTTAACATTATCATAAGTACTATGAATGTAATCAAATCGAATAGGGAGAATGCATTGCGATAGCCCAGTGCGGTTTGGTATTTAGGACTACAGATGCAGCTGATACCAACGGCTTAACGTGCCAAAAGATACAAGAAGCTTGATATAGTAAGTTTGAGGGCTGATGATAATGATTTTATGCCTGGCCCTTGAAAAAGTTCCTTAAATTCAGCAGGATAGTTAACAATAAGGTTGTATAGAGTATTGAATTGCAAATTCATTAATAGAATCGATTGTATATACGACGGCATTTGCGTATGAGAACGCTTGTACCATCGTAATATTCGTAATGTCTTTAATCTTAATACATATATAATAACCAAGGTTGTTCTCCCTTCCAATTCGAGCCGGTCCCATTAAGAAACTCGTTCTAACTTCAGCTATTACTCATATTGGAAGAATTTTAATGATTTGTTATTGTTTTTAAGAGATCACCACGCGTCGCCAGTTAAAAAAAGGAATACTTAATCGAAGTTTATCGATTCATTTTATTTGTTTTTTGGCTGACGAAATATTTTAGTATTTCAATCGTATGTATAACAGGAAAATCTAGAAATATTTACAAAGAGCTTTATAAATATGCACATGATCATATTTAGTTAGGTAGTTATATAAAGAAACGTGAACTAGTCAAAACAAAACAGGACTTACATCTAGTTCAATCTAGTAAAGGTCGGATATTGATTTTATATGACTTAAAACATAACTGAATTCTAGTCAACGTTTTTAGAGTTCCTTTTCAGTTGCTTAACTTCCTGGCGCAGGTCTGCGATGCGGAAGTTAAGCAACTTTCGTAATGTTCGGTCATAGGATGGGTAACCGAAAATGTATTATCTTGAGCTCTAAATTTAACTTTTCTGTACTCTTTTCGGCATTTCTTATCTTAATAAAACTTGTTCCAAAAGGTTTCACTTCTAACTGGATAGTAAGTAGCACGTGTATTTAAAGATTTGTTTTGTTCTACCTACGCTCATTAATTAATAACCGACTTCAAAAAAGTAAATGTCTGGATGTTCACATATTTTTCGGAACTTCTCCACCAGGAAGCAATAATTCTTTTTTGTTTATTTGCTTAGCTTAAATATTTTTAAAGTGTTAAATAAAAACAAAACTACTTTTGAAACCGCGCTGTTTTATCATTCATTTTCTTTTCTTGTGTGTAAAAAAGCATAATCAATTTTCTTATTAACATTGACATTGATTGGTAATGAGTTAGGTTTGTGTCAATGTCATTGTACTCTTAGTCTATAATCCTATTAATGTGAAAGTTTTGTTTGGATGTTAGTCCATCAATCACTCTGAAACTACTGAACGGATTTTGATGAAATTTGGTATACAGATAGGGTATTAGCTAACTTAGATAATAATATACTTTTTCTCCCGTTAAACTTTTCCCTAGGGACCACGCGATAGGTGAAAGCTAGTAGTGTTAGAAAGAGTAATAATTTATTTGTTTGCGTTGATTAGGCTCCGCAACTACTCGAATCATACGCAGGTGACATAAGCTATAATTAAAGCGGGCGAAGTCGCGGGAAAAAAGATAGCAGCTGATATGTTTCTTGCGACCGTTCTACTTGTCAGTCAAAATGAGTTCTGAATTATTTTGAACAAACAAAATCATTCATAAGTTCATTTGAATATGGAGTGTTTTTGTTTAGCTTGAAAAGTTCCTTAGTTCGGAAGAAAGAGAAAGTATCGATATCCTGTCTCTTTCGCTGAAATTACATGTCAGATGACAATCGTAAAATCGTTTTGGAAGGCTTAATCTGACTTTTATTATCGTTTACATTCACCTTTATGGAATTAGTATGGAAACCCACACAGCGGTAAATATCAAGAACTACAAATCTCCATACAAATTATTAAGGCGCTCACTAGTGATACGTTTAAGCCGAATTTACATTACAAAAGTCGTTGCATGAAACTAGTTTCATAGCATAATTTTCACTAGTGATTTCAAGTGTAAACGTCGAGCAGACCAATTCTACTAATGGTTACGTAAATCGAGTCCCAATAGAATTTCCACTACTTAATTGAATTTGAGTTATCAAATTAAATATAATTATATATCTGTCACCATTGGTTTAATAAATAGAGGATTTTAGGTAGAAAGTACAATAGTACATTGTAAGTTGTCGAAATTCTATTGAGATGCGTTTTTACGTAAACTTAAGCAGAATCGGCGTAGTTCCACAGTGCATGCATTAGTTTCACGACACTAGAGTAGTTTCGTGTCGTGCGCATAATTTTGCTGAAATTAGTTTCACGAAACTAATTTTACCACGTTTTGTGTGACAAAATTAGTATCGCAAAGTCTGTGCATTATAAAGCGAGCCAGTGTCTCATACTGTTGATTTCACGCCATCACATAACTATTTACATGTGCTGAAATTAGTTTCGTGAATTTTTTTCATCCTGCATGACAATATACAATGTTTCCTTCCCAGCTAACTACGTTTGTGCAAGTTAACAGAGATCGATAGGATATCGCAATCTTGTCTTTCATTTTAACCGATTTTGAGCCGGCAGCGCCTGTTACCTACTCTATCTTAATACCTCTACATGTGAAATCAACACGGAAAAAAATCTATTCATGCCATAAAAATCAATATTAAGCCGCCATAACTGATTAACTTAAATCTTTCACTGGAAAGTAATAATGTATTGTTTAACTAATTGCAAAAATATAATCGGATTTGTTTGTCATGGTTTCTCGAGTAGGTATTCATAAACATCCAATGTAAAACAAAATAACAAAAATAATAATTTACATTGCGCGAGCGCTGTTATAAAAACAATTGGCGCGTGATGCAGATCGATAACGTTAATAGATTTTTTTTTTGTTAAGAGCGGTTGCAATGTCACATGAATGTCCCTGTTTTCCTGTGTACCATAATACAGTTGTAAATGAAATGAAAAGCAAATGCTATTTAGTAGTAAGTAAGATGAGTAAGGTGTCAGAAAAAGCAGTACAACCTAAACATTCCACTATTTTGAATTACTTTGATGCATAAAAACATATACTTATTTCCTTCCTATTTTCTATTATAAATAATTGAAGCGTAACTAAAAAAAACTTAAGTGTATTGAACTTATCAACGGCATTGTGTTTTTTTCTGTCGGACAAATGCAAATACGTTGCAAAGTTTTTTTTTTAGTCTGAAAAAGTATTTGCCGATTTTTTTGTCTGTATTTTCTATGTTATCAACTATCCGGGGCGAAGTGTTGACCGAAAGAAAAACTGCTTTAATTAGTTTCTATTGAAGTTTTGCAAAACTGTTGTAGTTGCACAAGTAAAGTTAGGCAATTTTTATTTGTCACTTAAATTTTTTTATTATTATTTTGAAACGGTAAGATTGCATGAACATAATGTAAACATAAATTAAAACTTTATAGGTAATTAATGTAAATATTGTAGGTAGTTCTGGTTTTGAAAATATTATATATATTATTGAGAAATCAACTGTCGATTTTATGGATAAGGACAGGGAATGACTCACGAAGCGAAATGGATCATTGAAAACTACTTTTTAATAGAATTTAAAATCGAAAAGGAGGAGATTTTGTGTTCGATTGTGATGTATTTTTTTATGTATGTTCATTTAATTTTCTCTTTATTTTACCGCGAATTGTTTAGAGATTTAAAAAAATGACCATTTATATTTCATAGTAATCAAACTCGTAGTTTTGTTTTTATAACAAAACAAAATGGGTTTTTCACCAAATCACCAAAATATTTAGATAACATGTTTCTATCATCGACAAAGCAAAAAATGCACGTATTTTGAATTTGCATTCATTCAAATTCGGAAAGAACCAATTTCTGTGTTTAGGGTTTGTATTGTTTTTAAGTAGGTAGGTATGTTCATACATTTCTTTTTGAATAGTGAAGCAATTTCTATCAAACTAGCTGTATTTCTGCCACTTCGCCTCCTTAAATTATAGCCTTTGGCCCCTGCGTATTATGTAGCTCCCCGTAGAAGAAAAAAAAATCGGCTTTATAGTTCAGAGCCTTACAAACAAACAAGCAATTAAATCGTTCCTGTTTATTGTATTAGCATATATATATATATTGAAAATAATCATAAAGTGAACCCCGGTAAAACTCAAACTATTATCATAGGGGCTCTTCGTGGATAGGATAAAGTGGAGTCAGTTGCAATCGGTGACCTTTGAGGGCACTCCAATTCCTTATTCAGATAAAGTGCGTAACTTTGGAGTTTTATTGGACCAAACGCTCCCATGGCGGCCACAGATTGTCGAAGTCAGCAGAAAGATGTTTGCTACTGCCGGGTCCCTTAGACGTTTACGGAAATTTTTACCCACTACCAAGATATCTCTCGCACAATCTGTTCTTTTGCTTTCTTTTCTTTCTTTCTTGATTACGCCGACGCATGCTATAATGATTTTACTTTTGATCTTATTAGTAAACTCGAGCGCCTCCAAAACCTATCCATCAGATTTATTTTCGGGCTCAATAAATATGATCATGTATTCTTACTTCGTCTATAATTTATTTGGCAACGTAGAGATTTGCATATCCTGTCCCTTCCCTTATCCGTGTTGTTCAATCCAAAATCTCTTCTTTATTTAAAACAACGTTTCAGCTTTTATCTTCCATTTATGACCTACCTCTTCATTCATCGGGCAGTCTTCGCCTCTCAGTTCCTTAAAACCAAACAAAATTCTACATAAATCCTTTACAATTTGTATTACACGTGACTCGATTGTGGAATTCATTGCCCAAAGATATCAGACGCTCGCAGTCGCTCATCTCTTTTAAATATGAATATCAGAATTCTTTATCTTTGCCTTCTTTTAACTCGCGGTATCTTCTGTTTATGTTATCTACTTCGTATCGTACCCATATACTTATATTATATATTATTTATACTAATATTATAGATACATATTTAAATTGATATTTTCCTAACTTTGTGAATTTTTATTTTGGTACCATACTATGTATTTATTTTTCCTTTTTGTACAATAAAGTGTCTAAATAAAATAACGTACTTCGGAACGTAACAGAGATTACTATATATTTATAAATAGAGAATTAGGTCCCTTTGTTGGCCTTATGTAAATGGAGACAATCCTAAAGCCAGTCCAATGAAATGCGACCGTTAGTATGCTATGAATTCAGTCAGATGTGACTTAAACATTTTCATTAATCCTCACCAGGTCTACTGGCTCATCAAGCTGTTTTGTTTGGAGCCTTGGGCGCTGATCCTCGCCCGTGCTATAGCTGGTATACCCTGCTCAGCTTGCTACATCGTTCTGCCCATCTACATCAAAGAGATCAGTGATATCGACCTCCGAGGTGCCTTAGGATCATTACTTATATTGAACAGGTAAATATATAATAATAAATGATAACCATATAAGTGCGTTTGCAATTGTGGAAGTTTGGCAATTGCAAAAGCACTTATGTGGATATAATTGAATGGATGACCAAATATATAGTCTCTCCACATTCTCTGAGCTTCGAAAGTCTTGTTGAGCCATTGGTGCTGGCTATATCTGTAGTCTTTAGTACCATACGACCACCAGCACTTGTATTCCTATTCTTCCTATTCCCTATGTGAATTAAAGGCTGGGGCCTTGGGACCATCAACACAAACATGCATCAACACAATCATGCATTATTAAATAACAATGTATAGGCAAATAGACTCCGAAATAATTGGACCAATTTAAAAAAAATCTTTTATTGAAAGGAGTTCTCATCTTTCGCGGTTGACAATGCGCTATAATAAGATTAAGTACTGTAAAGATTTAAGAACTAATATGTAGCGTTACAATTTTTTCTATATTGTTGATTTTTAAAATTAAGCGATGTTGTTCGTGTTCGTTGTATGCCGTTTTTTTGCCAAGCGTACGGATCCGCCATAATGTATCATAGTTTATGTCACGCAAAAGACACGTGGTAAACAAAGAAACTGTCTATATGTATTTGTCCAAGTTTTTGTTTTATTGATGTATTGGCAACATAATTTTTGTCACATTGTCGACTCCAATAATGTATAGCGGTTGACAAAAAATATTGACAGCCATTTATTAATGCGTCAATTGTTATCACAAACGACCTCCGTGGTCTAGGCAATGTATTGATGTTGTCTTAAGTTAATACGAAGACAGAGCTCAATCGCATAATTAACGTGTTTTTTGTTGCAATTGTGAAAATTAAGCAACTTATCAACAATCCGTGCTTTTTCAGTGTTTTAGGTTAAGTAAAATCTTTCTAGTGCGTGTGTCTTTCCTACAAATTAAAACACCTATTGAATATGGTCCATGACCCAACAAGCTTACAAGCAAATATTTTTAACAAATAAACAAGAATTTGATTGAATAAGAACTGTTAATAATAAAATTATTATAATTATTAGCTATTAATAGTTCATTTTTCATTAAAATTCTCGTCTATCGATTAATACGGAATGGTGGATGCTGAAGATTGTACATGCAACAGTGACTGACAACTTAAGGTTGGGCAAGTTTCATCGCCCTATCTTTTTCTGTAACTCAAAACCGCCTATTGCTAAAGCGAGAAAGATAACATATTACCAAGCGTTGCTCAGCTCTACTAAGCCGGTCGTAGCTGCATCTACAATCGTTAGCAGCCACCTATTCGCACTAAGCTTGTTGGATCATGGGCCGTATTCGCTATGTGATGTCATGCACAGTCCGATGCACTAGATAGTGTTGAAATTAATGGGCTGATAACGATAACTACAATTAATATAAATTATGTGTTTTAGATAAACACAATGTTTAGTTATTTTTTCATTTATTTCAGAAACATTGGATATCTAGCTAGTTACATATGCGCTGATTTGCTAAGCGTTAATGCTATGTTATGGTTGGGTGTGATAGTTCCAACTGTGATATTCTTCATACTTCTCCTCATGCCGGAGACGCCAGAATTTCTAGTCAAACAAGGAAAGATTGACGTGAGTATTCATTTCTCTTGCTTTATCCTCCACCTTTATTATGAGTTCCTTGCAGATAACCAAGCACTAAATACGGTCGTCTTGCACCTCCTTGAAATTTAGTAGTCACACAATATACTAGAACTAACGAAGCACGCCTTCGTTAACTTTCACGCTCATTTCATTCATTCTCTCCACGTCTTTTACCATCAAAGCGTCCTTATATCTTATAAACTTTCATTCTATGAAGAATTTAATACTAGAAGCTTGGTAAAAGTTATGTTATACAATTTGTTTGCATTAGTTCACACACAAAGACGGTAAGGCTTACCTTATGTAGATATAACTTAACACCCTTATATCTAATCCCATGAATAATGCGGTACTGGACCTGCAAACTAGTAACTCTTGACTACTTTCAACTACTCTCAGGAACATTACTGCTCAGTTCTATTCAGTTACATATTGATGTTAATATTGTATTATTATAGGAGGCAAAAGCAGTATTGGCTTGGCTACGTGGTGTATCTACAGTAGACAGAGCTCTGGAAACAGAGATCGACAACGTGGTTCGAGTAGAGAAACAGACCAAGGAGGAAACCAAATCTGTTTGGGGTATTATTTGTAAGTAACTATAAGAATAACATTATTAACTAATAAGTATATTATATATGTAATTAATTGAGAAATATGATATGCAATGGTTAGTGTTTTCGGTCAGCATCTGTGGATGTCATCAGATGGGTGGCTAAAATAATTACTGGCTCCAACCGCATTTGCAGCCACTATTCGAGCACAAAGGGATATTTACCCATAAGGAAGGCCTGAGACAATTAAAGGGTTTTAATTTCATCAGCATACATGATCATTTTTGAATTAGAATCAATAACAAATACCTATGAGAAATAAATTAAATAGCGTATGTAAGTATTAATAATGATCCACGAGACACACTAGATATTGATGCATATTAATAGCTACTGACATAACCATCTGATATTTATTTAAAACGAAAAAATAAACTACCAATATAAATTACTTCATATATCTAAAACCCAGTATTAGTGATAAATTATGATAAATTAATTTTGTAATATGTTTAAATAACATCTATGTGTGATCCCTTTGATCTCTGAAAAAACTTATAAATTATTCTTGTTCACAGTACGCGACCAGCCAACGCGTAAAGCTTTCATCATCACCCTCATCATCAAAATAGCTCAGCAATTCGATGGGTACCTCATCGTTCTCATCTACGCTGGTTTCGTATTCTCAAAGGCCTCGGATAGTATCAGCTTAAAACTGAGCCCCAATAAACAGATTATTATGATCGGAATAGTCCAACTGCTTGGCTCCATATTCGCTACTTGTATCGTCGAGAAAACTGGAAGAAAGGTAAGATCTTACGCAGTAATCTGTCTTTACCTAGAAGAGAAAGATGTTGGCTCAACACTTTTCTCATCTTTTTTTTCATCTAGAGACAAAGACAGGAGATCTTTACAAAATAATCAAATCCCTAAAATCAGGACTCATTTTGCAAATTTGCGATTCAGTTACTTAATACTTTATCTTTAATTGATAAGTCCAGTCAGACAATTAGTAAAGATATATATGTTTACATTCAGACTATGCCACATGGCGTGTCCCAAAAATCTTGTTTGCTATAATTCTCTTTAAAAATTATTCGTTGCGTACATTTGTTTAATTAATTACGTCATTCAGTTTGAATTCGTTAAGCATATTGTTAATAAATTATATGAGACACTTTTTATCATAACCAATTCAATATTTATGTTCAAATGAATAATTCATATGAACATGCTGTCACATGACTGGGTTTGTCAAACCAATTTCAATAAATTTCACGGTATTGACAAAAACTTTCGTTAGTACAATAAAAGAGTTCTTTTATCTTTTATTAGCCTTACCCAATTTGAATATTGTTGTTACTGACAATAATAAAAATGTGTTGGAAAATCTTTTTATTACTTATACTATTATATTGTTGTCAATTATTTTTGAGTAATATATTACTCTTCTGTTTGAATTGCATGAGTCGTAACAAGTAAGGCTTTCATAAAAAATATTTGCTGGTTAAATTTTTCCTGATAGCTCAAGCGACTTTACTTTGCAATGTCTTACATAGTTTTATCATCTATTTCATCTCCCTATGGGTTTTATTACCAAAAATTCTTCCTTTGTGTCTACTCCATAAAATAGCTCTTCTAACAAAAGATCAAGGATTGAACCACAATAATACACGCTTGTCGAAGAAATATGTTTCACTGTTAGGAACTATAAAACAGTCAGACTGTACAATAAAACAAATTCAATTAAGGTTCCCTAATAGACCTACGTTTTCGTTCCAGCTTCTTCTAGTGACGACATCATTCGCAGTAGGTGTTGGTATGCTGGTATTGTCGGCGTGGTTCTATGTGACGTCAGCTGGCATTTGGATGCCTGGCTGGTTGCCTGTACTGGCCATGTGCGTGTGCATCTTCGCTGACGCCGCTGGTTTCCAACCGATCTCCTATATCATCATTACGGACCTCTTCACTTTCCAGGTAAGTTCATTTTTAATCAAATTCATACAAGTTGGAGGTTATTATTTGCCTGAATTTATGTGTTTTTGAAATATATGTTCCTATAGTACTTAGTTCGATATCACGATGGTTACGGTATTTTTTTAGGTAAAAAAAAAATAGTAAAGGCAGACTTAGCAAATCGAAAACTATAAAGACCGCTAACAAATTCAAGACATTAAAAATTCCGTGAAGTATTTTGTGAGATGAAAAGTTTTTATGAAAATTACACGGACGAAAAAATATGAAGTCTGCTTTTTGGCTTTGTTGGTGCTTTCTCCATATTAATAAAGTTATTACAAACCATTTTTTAATATGGTGTAATAGATCAGTGTCTTCCTTTCTTCAACTATGAAACGGAGAGAAAAGGATGCAAGAAAGTAAAGCACATTAAAAAAGAATACACAGCAAAAATATTATAAGTGATTACTGAAATTCACTTTTAAACTAGTTAAAACTGGGTTGAAACAACTTTTTGAGCCAATTAAAAATAGTGTAAGATAATATTTTTAGTAATGTTACTAATAAAAACTACCTTAATGTAACTATCTATTAGCTCACGTGACTCTTTAATATTATTATGTATTAGTGTAAATATTTTAATTGTTGTAACTAAGTCAGACTGAATTGGCTGTTAAATTGTTATGATCATACTAAATCTATTGTTTATGATTGACTAATTTCTATTGATATTAAGGATAAACTTATTGGTTAATTAGAAATTTTTTAATAAAATTCATCTTCTATAGTGCTTCTAAAAAGAGATATATTATATTATTAATATTATATTGATTCGTTAGTAATGTGATGTCGTTTGATCACGCAAAACATTGTTTGGTTGAATCTTTCACATATGCGTGCTACCCAAAGGCGGTTAGGGTCCACCTCTGGTACTCTTTTGGGTCCTATTAAGAGTGGCGTCAAAAATATTATTCTGAGGATGCTTCATAAAATCTTCAAAAACCACTTAACTCACAACTTTTATATCCAGAAAAAAATATGAATTGACTTTGAGCTGTCCCAGAACCTTTTCAATAAATAAAACTTAATTTTCAATTAAACCTTAAATAATTTTCAATAAAACCTTATCTATCTATCCGAGACGTAGCACGACTATCAAATTTCTCAAACACTTATTTCCGTTAACTCTCGTTAGGTATTTTCATCGAAGTCCAACCGACAGAGATATTTTCACAGATAGTTTTGACACTTTCGATGAAAATTCTTTCCTTAAATATTCTTATCCAGATGCATTATGAATGCAAAATTATTTAAAACACCTTTTCAACTTAATCGATCAAATATAATATATTCTTCACTTTACAATTTCATAAATACTCCAGTGTCAATTTGTTTATATTCTAACTGTTCAGCAAATTATTTTCTGTGATCATTTCTAAAGGGAACACTTTCTCCATCTCAACTAGTATTCTTAATTGAAATGAAATGAAAATATCTTTATTCAAGTAAGCTTGTTACAAGCATTTTTCAATCGTCCAAAATCTTTTTTCCCCTACCACTTGTTCAGGACGTCTTTTAGCTGACAAGAAGAACAAGCGAAAGAAACTTACCAGCTCTTTTCATAACATAATATATTTATCACGATAATAAATACGACTTTCAAAGTCTGTAGGTCATAGGTTATACAAATAATGAGACTTATACAACAAAGCGAAGGCTATTAATTCCATGCATTGCGAGCCTTAAAATAATCATCAACTTTATAATAGCCTTTACTCATAAGTATGTTCTTAACATGAATTTTAAATTTTTCCAGTTACGCGGCACTGTCTCAGCTTTCACCAACATCTGCGCTAAACTCAGCAACTTCGTTCAAATGAAGTGGTTCACTAATTTATGCGAGCTGATCGGCATACACTGGACTTTCCTTTTCTTCGCCATCGTCTGTTTCTTCTCCACCATCTATACGATCTTCGACTTCCCCGAAACCAGGAATAAAACTGTCGAAGAAATCTACAGCAAGTTAAACAGAAGAAACAAGGCGAACAAAAGTACTGCTGTGCCGTAGTGTAGTAAACCTTTGCATTATTTGAAGTCATATATTAAGAGCATGAGGACTAAAAATTTATACTACCAAGTCAAAATTCTGGTAGTAAATACGACGGGCATAAGTTAGACTCTTCGTTTTAAGAACCTTAAGACTCTTTATATGAGCCTTTAAATCTCATTGTTATCGGAAACAATTTATATAAATCTTAAATGATGTTGACTATTAATATGTTATTTGTGAATTATTTACAAACAGCATAGAGGTTTTTAAAGGTTTTATAAGGACGTTTACGGCTTTAGGATGTATTGAGGTTGTATTGAGTTCATTTAGAGTTCTAGAAATAGTGATATTTATATAATAGTTGCTTTTGAATGTTGGTTTCCATTAAGTGAAGTCTTAAACAAACTGAAACTTAAAATATTTTCTCCTTCATTGTGGTTTTTGTAGATAATAAGCATATCAATATGCTTTCTTAATATATACCGTCTCAAAATGACAAAATAGAAAGTATTGCGAAATTTATCGCTGTTTATTATCATAATCTTATGAAATTATGCTATGATTTATGTATGTCATTTATTCATAATACCTTTATGAATATAGATTTTATGTTTTAGCATGTTTGGAGTATTTTCTAGAGAAATCCAGTAAGTTAATATGTGTAGTTTTAATTTGGCCTAGATTTTTTATTGGAATTGACGTTTCGATAATCAACAGAAATAATTCCATTAAAGCAGTCAAAACAATTGAAATAATGATGGAATTATTATTGCATATTCTTCCGAGTACCGGAATCGAGAAACCATCGTGATAATATGACATTTGCCTTTATAATTTATAAAGGCGTTAGAAACTTTACTAAATCAACCAAAAACTCAGGCTGGAACCTGAAATATAATACAACATTGAAATTTAGTAAAGGATTTAAATATAATCGAACAAAGTCATAATTATGTTAGTCAAATAATGATGTTAAAAAAACTTACAATGCGGACGAGAAATAAGGGATGATGTAAACTAAATCAGTGTGTACCGCTCTTAAACAAAAGAAAACATAACTTTTGTAATAATAAAGTTTTAAAGTATATTTGTTAAGATAAACTACCATTAATAAATTTATAGGTCATTTATTATAATGACCGACCGACATGCAAAATCAATACTTATTATTGATTATTAAAATATTTAACCTTAGCTTGTAAAAATTGGAATATAATTTTAAACTAATTAGTTCATTTTTGATTTATTTATCATCTATAATGGTGTCATTTCTATAATAGTATACTTTTTATTACAAAAGGAGGTTGAAATAAAATTCAACAATTTCAGATTTCCGAATTAATATATTTTTAATATTAATTTGAAATTATCAAATTTCCAAAATGTTTTCTCTATAACATTAATATGAAGTACCTATAGTATATAGAGCGATTCGCGAATTAATATTACCTTATTTTATCCGGGTATTATGAATAATTCCCTTATCATGAACTTTAGTTTCTTGAACAAATCTGAGAGAGAAAACAATATTTTCTACATTTAAATACTTTGCTGCTAAAATTATGTTTCATTTATTTTCATGCATAAGGCACACTTGTATTATATTACGCACTGAATTTATAACAGCCTGAATAAAAAACATAAAGGCCTTCCTTTATGTTTTCTAAAATATGACAAAACGGTCATGCAAAATTTTGAATCTTTAAATGAAACAAGATTTGTACATTATATAAATAAGAATAATTATATTAATTCAATAAATCGAAAAGTAATATTTCATAACTAGAATATTTTTTTTTATTATTATATCAAAAATCAATATTTGTTAAATGAGAATAGAGTGAATTTATATATTTATTAGAAATGAAACTCTACAAAGTAGTTAGGTATAAGTATATCTTTTATCCAATCGTGTAAATATTAAGTAGGCAATGGTCATTAAAATAGATTTAACGTTTTGAAATTCATTTATTAATGCATGTTATTTTAATGTATATTTTTTTATTTTGATGAAACAGTGAAATTGATTAGTAGCTAGTGTATTTTTATTATGTTTCCTGTACTGAAAGCATTTTTGTCTGGAGTTCGCAAAATAATTTTACATAATGTTTAAAACACAGATTTTTAAAATTAAATTACCTACTTATAGATAGGTTTTACTTATTTGACCTAAAAAAAAAGTTGAACTGTATAAATAACATTGCAGTAAAATCTAATAACATAGACAATAGGTGGAACTATTTTTTTATTATTGAACTGTAAATAATAGCTATTAATAGTTTACCTTTATCATGTAAATTTACAGGGGGTTCCATTAGATAAGTGCTAAAATAATGATATAAATATAAGATAAATGTGCTATACTTACTGCTGTTAAAATTCAATGTTATATGTATAAAATTTGATGTAACTAAAAATTTCCATAATGAGAGATTTGATCATTAAGTTGGCCTTTGTTTCAGTAGTGGCTGGCGATGATGATTGAATTGCTAATTCCTGAAATTTGTTATTTGTCCCCTTTTTAAGTGTACGATATAATGTTGGGTTTCAGATAGCTAGCTATATTTTTTCATTTGATTAGTCATAAAAAACCTGAAAGTAACAGAACAGTTTTTTTAAATAATTATTATAAAATATTTTCTTTGTTGATTTGCCAGAGTTTTTACGAAATTACTCAAGGTTTATTTTACTTATAATAGCGTAATAAGAATTAATCTCAAATGATATATTTATTTTGCCATTTTAATGTAATTATTGTAAAACGGCTAAATTATGTTTAGCCATTATAGAATCGTGATTGTGTTGATTTTACTTAATAAATTATTTAATTTACAAAACTTGTCATTTGCAAGTTGCGTTAATGAAAGCCTTTTTATTTTTTATGCACTAAGTCGTAGTAGCTTTACGTGTGCGTTAGTGTTAAGTCTTGCAGGGCGATTCTGCAAAAATCCGAACCCAAATTCACGTCATTTAGTGAAGAAATCCTATTGACTCCATTTTTTGTATAAAATTACAACACAAAATTAATTGATTATACTTGTCTCAAGTATTCTATTCCTATATCATCTCTAAACTCACTTGAAATACGCCACGATACGTTATTACCAATTCAAGATTGAACGGATGCCGCTTTTTGAAGTGTCTTCTTACTTCACTTGAGTGAATTCTAAATCGGGTATGGATTTTTACAGAATTGCAGGGCTGGATATTTTTTGGGCAGCTTCCTAGGTTGGACCTACAGAGCGAACGCCTTTAGCTGTAACTCTAGCTATACTATACGATATCTTAGCTATTTTAAAGCACTATTCGCTTCATTTTAACTCTACTTTGACATGTAATTAAGTAAAAAAGAACGAATGATAAAGAGTAATGAATATGGATTTGACAGCAGTGTTTTCAACTTAGTCATTTATACCAAATTCATCAATCAAAACATGTCTAAGTAGTAAAAGAAACCGAAATATTGTCATAATATGGCTAGAGCTTTATCTAGAGAGTTAGGTGGTTGTGTTATTGGTAGTTTCCGGTTGTACATGTTATAAGCACCAAAAATCGCTATTATGGTAGGTTATGGCTCGTTTTTGCTTTTTAATTGCATCCGCAGTGCAGGTCTGTGCTTCAGCATGATTAGGGTATGACCTAACAGTGCTATTAATAAACAAGGTTATCGTTAGAGTAAATTAACGCTAAAATTGCAATTTTAGTATTAATCCAAATTTTATATTATAAAGAGAATGAGTAAACATACCACCTTCTAGGAGTAAATATTACTTCCGTAGAACCTCGGACTAGGTTAACCTTTGATAAGTCTCTGCTTAATAATATGACTTTTGACTAATACTAAGTCCCAGCGTAAGTTTACTCCAAGGTTAAACCTTGTTTATTAATAACACCAGTTTAAATCACTACCATATTAAATAGAACGCAGTAACGCGTAACGCCTTATAGATAATATAGAGTTATGTCGAGTTTATTGAATCATTAATTATTGCTATATAAATGGATAAGGATTATTTTAGGGTGGGTGACATACTTTAGTAGGAGCAACGTTTTACGTACGTGGATGTCCTCTCTAATTACATACCCATTTCCGTTTTGACTGCTTTCTCGAAATTTCTGAAGAGATATCTTAACGCTTCACTTGTGAATTATCTGGCAAAATTCAAAATACTGTCTGACAATATGGCTTTCGTCGTGGTATTTTTACGGAGGATGCCGTTTCAAACTTTGTCAGTACGGTTGTCTCAAAAGTAAAGGAAAAGCTTTAATGTTACGGTGTCTTACTGCATCTCTCCAAGGCCTTTGATACCATCTCTGTGCCTATTCTTTTGGCCAAGCTTGAAAAGATAGGTATATGTGGCCTTACATAAGATATGTTTACAAGTTATCTCACAGACCGAACACAAAATGTAAAGATAGGATCTTAATTTAGTGATAAAAAAATAATATATTATGCCTTTCCCCAGGGTAGTATACTAGGTCCCACTCTCTTTTAAATAAATATTAACTAGCTGTGTCGCATGTCTCTTGAGAATTGCGACGTTTTTATGTATGCTAATTGACTAAAAGTGCAATATGCACCTTTAGCTTATGGTGATAGTTGGATCTCCGCAAAGGCAAAAGCAGAGAGCGCACTTGCAAAAATCAAGATCTGGTTAGACGAGAATCTTCTTACCTTAAACCAAGATAAAACGCTAGTTATTCGTTTTGACATCTCCAAGAAGCATCTTAAACACCTAATGTCGACATTAAAATTCATCACTGTCATGACAAAGATCTATGTCTATGTGGTAGCAAACTTTTAAAAGTTGTGAATAATGTATTTGGGAGTACACGTTGATTTATGATCTATAAGGGTCTGTATCAGTCAGTAATAGAATATTGCATTTCAGTTTGGGGTGGTGCAAATAAAACAAGCCTTTTGAGATTGGAACGAGCTCAGCGGGCTGTACTTAAGGTCTTATTGCATAAGCCAAGAACATACTCTACGGAAAAATTATTTCATTAATGTAAAGTGCTTACAGTGAGGCAGCTGTCAATACTTCGAATTCTTTTACGTAAAGATTCATCAATACCTTTTGATGAGAAGGTCGGGTGCTCCTGTTTGTCATCAAATTAAATGTGGGACTTCGTGGGCGAAACAGCAATACAACGCGCTAAGTTTAAAACTGTACAGTAGAGTAAATAAAATTAAACCAATATATTCACGTACCAAGCACACTGTGAAAACCATTATCGAGAGTTTGTTATTGTCATTTAACTATCAAGAAGCGGAGGACATGTTAAAATAGGCAAACAAAATATAATATTATATAAACACACACAAACTCGAGACACACACACACACACACACATAAGCATACACACAAAAGTTCAATCAATATATAAAACGATGGTCACAAAATGTTCCTTTAGATAAGAGGAATCAGTGACTTCCAAAAAACCGATTTAACTCTAGTTTGGGGGTCAGAGCTCACAATAATTTAAGCGCTAATTTGTAACCAAAAATGCCAGATTATTAAATTATATATAGAAACATTTTCTGTTTTGGTTTGAATAATTAAATTATTATTATTATCTAACCTAACACAAATGCATCAACTATTCCGGCCAACAAATAAAACTAATTTAAAACGGTTCTGTGTATCTATGAAAAATTATTTTATTCTTCAGTCAGATTCCGTGTTCATTTAGTCTTAGTTTTAATTAACTAATGATCATTTTTTGTAATAGATACTTCTCGACCGATTTTAAAAATTCTTTCGCCTACGGTATTTCATACGCGGGCAACATATATCTATGCTATAAATTACGCGGGCGATGTCGCGGGAAAACAGCTGTATAGTCTAAAATGAAGAACGTAATGAAATTAACTATTAGAAACTTTTCGTTCGCGATCTATCAATGATTCATTTACCTGGAACCTATAAGTTTTTTTTTATGGATCAGTGTTCTACGAAAATTTAAATTGAGCTCACAATTAAATCTTCTGATGCGTCAATCAGTATAAAAATATAAAATTTCTTAAGATTTTAAAAACCAATTTAATCAGTTTGTTTTAATTACACACGACAACTCTGTATGATAATATTATTTAAGCGTAGGTAGAACTCGTGACCATAATTCTTCAATATAAAATAAAACATAAAATCTTATTATGATGAAAAATATTGGGTGCTGTCATTAGTAAATGTAGGATGGGCATTACTATTTGAACACGAACATCATTAACAGCTTTTAGTCTTATCGGCACCTGTAAAAGAAAACTGTATAACTCAAATTTGAAAAGCCTACTTCTCCATTAGATTTCAAACCAGAGATCTGACCAAGGCAACCTTGGTTGAAACTTGGTATGCGAGCGTACACGTATGTGATCCACGCGGTTGTCGTTAAGCGTTCCGATAAACGATGATTGAAGGTGTCGAGAAACGTTGTATAATAGACCATACGGAGGAAAAGCGACAAAGAAGATCTTTGTTGGTACTGACAGAGTGCAAAAGTTTGTTTGCTGTAATTATTTAGTAGGAAACACGTGCCTTTGGACCAAGGTCGGCAACATGCAAGGTCACCTGGTTGAAACGCTGATTGTTGATATTTTAAGAATTATATTTTATTTATTCATTTTCATGCTACGACAGCACTGTGTTCGACGGCAGCCTGTAAAATTATATTATTGAGTTTCAACATTCTTATTTGCAGGTGACAAATTTTGTCAATATTGATAAAAAAATATTTATGTACTTTAACTAAAACTGGTAGATTTTGACACAACATAAAAATCTTATTTGTTGTGTGCAATACGAATGGTATTGAACTCAATGAGCTTTTAAACAAGAATATAATGATGTCATATTACTTGACTAATGCGAGGGACATCGCTGAGTTTTAGTGGGTAAACTCCGGCTTTTTGTCTAGCCCCTTTGGGGGTGGGGCCGCAGGATGAGTCCCACATAACCCGTGAGCTCGCGCTGGGTGAAGCGGGTATGTGTAACGCATTTATCAGCGTCAAAAAAAACTCTTCAAAGATAGAAGATTATAATGTTACATAGTATTATCAGAAGGATGTGGAGCTCGCTAGCGCAATGGTTAGCACGCTCGGTCTCCGGTTCGACTATTAAGCAACTTTCACAATGACCTGATATGAATGAGGTCATAGGTTCGAAAAGTACGTTATGCCGTTAGTCCCAGCTGTATCTGTCATTAATACCTACCAATCCGTTTTTGGGATCAACTACGCTGCTCTCAGAGGGTGGAACTTGTTATTCTTTAGACTAAATATTACTACTAGCGGCATCTAGTTGTCCTCTATCATTTTGTTCGACGTTACCTGCTTAAATAAAAGTTATTCTGCGTTCGCTTTCTCCACAAACTTTGCTTATTAGAATCTAACTGTAGTGATTAAAAAAAAACTGCATTTTTTTATCTTGATATTTAGCATATTGATTTACAAGAATACCTGCTTATTTTCAAGTCAGTTGCTAATACACACGTTTGCGCAAAAAACCCTACAACAGTACCATAACTTTATTTTCTCATAGAGATTTTTTAAAATTTATCGACCTCCGTAGCCGAGTGGTTCGCACGCCGGTTTCAAGGTGTCGCCATCTCTGAGGTCCCGGGTTCGATTCCCGGTCGGGTCAATGTAGAAAATGAACTTTTCTATATTGACTCGGGTCTGGGTGTTGTGGTACCTTCGTTGTCTCAGATACTCCATAATACGGGGGCTTTAGCTACTCATCTTGGAATCTGAGCAATGTATGTGATGTTGTTAAATATATTATATATATATTATATTATATATATATTATATATATATAAATATATATATATATTATCTTTCAAAATTTTAAGGGTTTCGGTGGAACAGCTGTTACATTTCAACCATTTTCCCAACTCACCAAAAATGTGAAGGTAGATCTATCGTTGAATTTCCAGGGGTACACAGTATGTACATTTGAAATTCTTGCAGAATTGCATAGACAAAACACCGATCTAGTACATTACAGGAGTCAACCCAATGATATTAATATAAAAGCAAGTAATAATCTGAATGAGTGATTTAGCCATGACGTCACAAATCTTGCAACTGCATTAATATATAGGTATAAGACAACCGGTCAGTTGCACAAACGTCCATTAAGGTTTAATGATGCCTTTAAGCTCTAATGAATATCAAATTTGTATGTGTCATTTGTATGGTTAATGCCGCTTTAAACGAATTAAACGTTTGTGCAACTGGCTGAACATCATAAAAAATATATATATAATAACATCGCATACATTGCTCAGATTGAAATGAGTAGCTCAAGCCCCCTTACTATGGAATATCTGAGACAACGAAGACAACCCATACCCGAGACAATACAAAAAAAGTCAATTTTCTACATGGACCCGACCGAGAATAGAACCCGGGGCCTCGAGATGATGACACATTGAAACTGACGTGCTAACCACTCGGCTACGGAATTCTTTGTGATACTACTCATAGAAAGTTTACTTTAAATACGTTGTACTACGAATTAGCTAGTCAAAGTTAGATGGTAGGCCCCCAGTACAGTCTAAGGTTTTTTGCTAAGGTAGTTGCTTACATCAATAACTAAAAACTTCATCAAAGTCGTTTTATTACGTGAATGATTTAGTCAGTCATGATATAAGTAGGGTTTTTACCTATTTACTGTTATGCAGATTCATAGCATTAACAAGATTTGGTTTATGTAAAAAATTTTAAAGATGTTCTAGATAAAACAAAAACCAGCCAAGTACGGACGACGGAAAGCAAGCAAAAAAAATACGTTTGTTTTATAAGAGCCCCCTAAATATTTATTTTATTCATTTTTTTAGTATTTGTTGTATAATCTGCGAAGATTTCAAATATCTAACTGTTACAGTTAACGAGATACAGCCTGGTGACGGCAAAAAGATCAGGTTTGTTATGTGGAAGCCCTTTTAAATTTTAATTTTATTCTAGTTTTTAGTATTGTTGTTGAAGCGGAAACAGAAATACATCATCTGTGAAAGTTCAAATGCCTAACTTTCACGATTCATGAGATATAGTTTGGTGACAGCAAAAAAACACGTTTGTTGTATGGGAGCCCCCTTAAATATTTATTTTATCCTACATATTTGTTATAATTGATCACTTTGGCATCCACAATATACTTACTGGAAAATATTCTTAATAAAAAATGCTTAAGAAATCCACTTTGTCCCTGGTACTCTGAGCTCTGAGATCCCATCTCAATGCATAGTGGATTTTTAAGCTTTTTTCATTAAGAATATTCATTTTGGTTTTTTATTATAGCGGTAATAAATACATAATCTGTGAATATTTCAATTGTTTAACTATTACGATTCATGAGATACAATTTGGTGACAGCGAAAAATCACGTTTCATGTGTGTGAGCCCCTTAAATATTTATTTTATTCTGGTTTTTAGTATTTTTTATTAAAATAGAAATAGAAATACATCATCTGTAAAAAAATTATCATTGTTAAATTTTCATTTGTGAGCCTAAATATCTATATTACATTGAATATCAATTTCCAACGTAATTAATATTAGTTTCTCATCATAATAAACCGAATTATAATAATTTTAATTAATCAATCATACTACTCTTTAATTAAATTAAATAGCATTGTTTTTAAATGAACACAAAAAATTAATTTAATACACTTTTTTTGAACAGTAGCATTCATTAGGCATGCGTAGAGTGCGTATGCATGCCTTAAACAAAACAACGTAATAAAAACTTTTTTGTTTATTTACGAATTGACCGGTTATAATGATTCTCCGAGTACGCAAGGTTTTAGTGAATGAGCGATAGTCGATGCGGGAACACGCGTACGCGCATTCTCAAGCACAGCGGTCGAACGTATAACTACGCGGACGTTTTTTAAAATTCGAACGTGAATTTTCTATAATTCAACACATATTTCCGTTGACAGTTTTATTATTATTTTTTTTTAAATCGTTTGTGTTCAAAATTCTTTGGAAACCAAAGTGACAAGGATATTATTTGATAGAAATAAAAACTATAATTATTGCAAAAGTGAAAGCTGTAACTGCGTGTTCTCCTACTATTTTATTGCTACTTCGACGACGTTTGAGATAACAAGGTAATTTAAAATAAGATTATCAGAACATGATAGAAGAAGGTTTTAAGAACAATAATATTTATCTTGAGTGGGGGGTGTCGACAGCTGTGAGCCTGTGACACAGTTCATAGGTACCAAAGAGAATTTAAACAATACGGCTTGTACAGCTGTTTATCCATTGTTCTCGGTTGTTTTTATATAAGCCAAATAGTTATATAAATCGATGAATATTCATATTCCTTACGTGCCGATATAAAGAACAATACATTCAAATCACAATCTAAATATATCATAAAATCTAATGTATAATCACTTAGTTTTTCGTAAATCTCTGAATTATAAACTTAAATTCCCCTTAACTGGACCCTTCAATAAAACGTCAAGTTTAAAAACCAAATAGTCTTTTAATCTTTAAGTTTGTTTTTATATGACTTTCCAAAAAAAGAATGTATTATGTTATATGTGAATGAGTTTTTTTTGTTCCATCATAGTTTTTAAAAGACATAAAGGATATTAATGTAGGATGGGGTAATGTAGAAACGATACATTATCCGAGTGACACTGGCTAATTTGAAATAAAAATCAAAATGGCGGATATATAACGCCATTTGAAAAAGAAATCTGAATAAAAATATCTTAGATTATAGTATTGCGTAAATGTAACATTAAAGATCTTGATCAATACATTCCAAAAATATAAAACTAGTATACATAAATCAGTACTCACTAAAAGGAATGAAAAATGAAATAAACAAATTGCATTAAAGCTTCGCTAAACAAAATTCTGATTGCGAAATCTGAGTGAGAGGGTCTTAGATAATAAATGTTCTACTACAGAACGGTCTTCCAACTGCAAGGAGAATGTCCTTTAGCCAATGTTAGTCAAGCCATAAATCAACTTAGTTTCGTTTATTTTTTACCTTACCAAATCAACATTCGAAACTATGAATAATAATAATAATAAACAAATATATTTGCTGTCAGAAAACAAAATCCTTGTTGGTGGCATTTACCCGGGTAAATATGGACAGCAGGCAGGACAATGCGGTAAGTATATTTCTCTATACAAAAATCTCGATTTTTTATCACCCCAATCAACTTCATTACTATCGAGGAAAAGTTTAATTAATATTTTACTGTGACAGAATTCTTAAAAAGATTATTATTACAAAATAAAAAGAAACATTAAAATATATGTTTAAGGGCGATTTTTTTTACAAATATATTCATTCGATAACAATAAAAGATCGGCTATAAAAATATTTCTACAATAAAATGCGATTATAATATAATATTAAAAAGAAATACAATAGCAGATTATTTGCATTCTTATTGGAAATCATTAGAGTATGAAATTTCAATTTTTACGGAACGAATGCATAATTGAAATGAATGAAACCATATTCGTCTTCGATGGATTCATTCAATTAGGCGTACAAGCAATCAGTGCAATTTCAGTTAATGCGTTGATATTAATTATGATTGGGATGTTTTAATTTTAATAATGCGATACTATAGTTTTAAATAAAGTGGTGAAACACAGAACTTAGGTGTTCCCTTATTGTTAAGTAAAAAAAATAAGGATGACGACAAATTTTTATTTGTTTGTCCTTTAGGTGAATATTTGAAAATTATTAAATGCGTATTTATTTATTTTTTGCGTAACCAATAAATTACGGCTATACATTGACTTGAAACTTCGCATGACGTCACGCTTTTGTACATTTTCTACAAAACTGTGACGTAGCGGGCTCTATCAATTTTCATGCTTAAATTGAAATTGAATAAAAAAAAATACGTATCTAATATTTTTTTATTATCTGACTGACGAACTAAATAGAATTTCTTTTTTTTTACATCTCTATTGTAAACATAAACAAAAGATCAAAATCAAAAGATTACGGTATCCCGAGATGATGCCTGGCGCTCATAGATTTTTTAAACTTTTTTCATTAAATATATTTTAATTATATTTACCAGTGTAGCATTGTGAATGCAAAATATGTAAAGTATGATAATTATAATAGTTTTAACTTAATATTTTTTTTTTATCTATTTTGATTTTTTAATTTACTCTCACTTTCGAATCTTGTTGCATTTAAATAGTATGATTTAAAAAGAAGTCACTATTCATGAGTGTTGTTACATCAAAAAAAAAAACTAATAAGTACATTTTCCGCTCATTGGAGGTGCAAAACAAAATGACGTAATTGTGGTACCTTCAATATAAAACAATACGTTAAAATTTTACATAAACAATGTCACTACGACAATTCATTTCTCAATTGACGTCATGTAGGTAAGTACTTCATCATCACCAGCTTATTAGTGTCCCCGCTGCTGGGGCTCAGGCCTTCCCTATGGATGGATTCGAACGCTGGCAAGGCATTGTAGCTAGGTACTTATTTCACGTTATAAGGATGATGACAAAATTTTGACTGTCTGTCCGTAGTTTATTGATGGTTACTAAATAAGTACTGTTTTAGTTATGATGCAATCAATCAATAACGGCGACATATTAAGTTGAAATGTCGCATGACGTCACGGCTTTGTACACTTTATTTTGACGATGGGAAATGCGTTACAACATACCCCGAGCCAGCGCGACTAACCGGGGTTATGTGAGGCTCCCCCCTGCGGACCCGCCCCAGAGGCGGCTAGTCAAAGAGCAAGGGGATACCCACTAAAACCCAGCGACGTCTCTCGCATGGAAGGCGATGCACGGGATCGGCCCGAAGGCCATATACCGCGCGGTGCCTTTGTACACTCCTACAATTCCTTGCCTATTAGGGTACAGCTCATAATTTGATACGTATCAACCTAAAATCTTAGGTGGTAGCCACAGTTGTATTAAACGTTAAGTGCATTTTGTCGTTTTAAACATTCATGGTCATTAATATGTACCTGGAATCTTCGAGCCGTGTTCGGTATTGTTATTATTTTTTTAATTAAATTAAGCTAAATCGATTTATTACACCCGAAACCTCTGTATACTAAATTTCATAAAAAGTTAGAAACCTCTCCTAGATTCATATAATATTTATTTATTAATTTAACAAAGTTTCAACAGCAGTTTTGTTATTTCAATACAAAAATAAATGTGCAGTGTTAACGCCAATTATATAAACTTATAACGTTTACAAATATGTATATTTATACAAGAATTATTCGTATAACAGCCAGATGCATAAATGTCCATTAAAATTGTCATTAGACGTCCATTAGAGCTTAAAGTCGTCATTAACCCTTAATGGACGTTTGTGCACCTGACCGTGAAGATATTAGATAATAAGTGTACCTTATTGGGGACCCCGTAAACTACCAATTATTCTGATTTTGAATGCATTTGATTCAGATCGATCGAGTTCTTTAATCGAGTTACGCGATAGATCTGCGGGTAGGAACGGGCGGTCACTAGGTCATTTACCTTCCACATTTTCCAGCTCAATCAGATTTTCCAGGTTTTTGCCACTCTCTCTCTCTCTTTCTACTAAAAATATTCCAATCCTTTCCGAGTCTACTCTTTATAGTTTCCGAGATTTTTTGATTAATCCCAAGCGCAAATATAATATATCTGCGTAATCACTAGTTTTTGAGATAACTATTTGTTATATGAATTAAATAAAATGATTGTGTCTTGTAAATTATAATAGAAAATCAATTGTTAGTGTACTTCATTTTTTTTATTTTATTTTCATCATATCAGTTTAATATATACGCTACTAAAATCTTATAAAGACTTGAGAAACTGATTAGACCATTAGATCAAATATAAATTTAAAGTTGCCAATCCCAATTTCAAAAGCTAAGTTGATAACAGGGGACAATTTCGTTTCAAAACTAACTGCCTAATTGTCTTATTTTAAAAATTATATCAGATAATTAGACATTTATAAAGAAATTCCTGAACTTCACGCTTCAACTATTTGAATTGTAATTAATGATATCGTATATATCAACTATTTGAATTGTATTTAACGTTAATTGGAATTGTCTATGGCAAGCGTTAAACATCTTCGAAAGTTCATAAGAAAGAGTTATAAGCGCAATCTTTCAACAAGTTTAGGTAAGTTTTTATTACAATGTTCAGGAAGAACATTGAAATCATCATTCGTCCCAAAAACAATTGCGACTTTGAAAATTACATAATTCCATAAATCCCTATCAGAATCGAACCTTTGAAAGTAATTGGGACAGATTTCAAAATTAGATAATTAGCCCACAGGATGCGCTGCTCAATCCTGCCGTGCATTACAAACAAAAAGGCAATGCGCTTCTTAAAAACCCATAACGCAGCTTAAAATCTATCTAGAACATACCAGGACATTATAAAAAACATACCAGGACATTATAAAAACAAGGATATGGCCACTAATGTGGACATGTCCTTGGAAAACGGCTATGTTGTTCGTCGTCGACCTATGACATCGTGAAGCTTCAATAAAATTAAACCTTTATTATCTTTTGAAGTAGGTTCTATTTGATCGAACCTGTGTCCTATGACAACGCTGCGTTTAACGTTGACTTCAAAATAGTTTTTATACCAGAAGGCCTACTCTGTTTCTACGAACACGAAATTTCATTTATTTTCGAAACGCTTATGACTCTAATATAATACAATTATCGATCATTTTAAGTTGCAACACTTGACATGGCACTGCTTGTGACCTACAGAAAATCTTCACAGATATGATTTTAACAATATAGTAAGAACAATTCAAAATTCTCCGAATTTTCGATCGTGGACAAACAGAGTAGGCCCTCTGAATGGCGTTTCAGTACAGTTGACAAGTTTATTCTAGAGATATGTCGAGATTTACATATACAACTTAAAGGTATAGGAAATAAACGATAACACGATCAAAGTATCATAACAAAGTTCTATTCTGATGTCTTCCGGTGATTTGTTTCTAACAAAGAACGAGAACAAGTAATTTATGAAATACGACTCTAACCCGATAAGCTCATAGGTGAATTTATATGTGTATTTCGCTAGTCTTGACGGCTGTGCTTTAATGGGT